TACTTGCATCAGTTTTTCTTACAGGAAAAAAACATATAAAATAAATATAAGGTGACCAGAATACAGCTGATGTTCCTAAAAGTACTTTCAATTTTTGTTTTTAAAATTGCCAAAGTGCTAGTGTCACTTTCACTTACCCACTGGGACAAGCTCAAAGTTGATTCCAAGTAAATGGAAGAGCATTTAAAATTATGTCACTTATTATTTTCTACAACTATCCTTACTGTCAATGTTATATTAAATTAGTTTTTAGCTCTGTGGGCCAGATTCTTGTTTAACTTCTGATTTAACTTACATCAACTAACGCATTGACTGCGGTGGAGTTACTGATTTCTAAGTCAGAATTGCCCTGCACACTGACTTACTGGCATGTAACTAAGATTCCTTTAGACAACACCTCTGAATTTAGCTCTGCTGCAGGTAGCATAGGTAGAGGAAGGCTGTGTCTTCCCAAACAATGTAGCATACCTAGGGTTGCCTGATGTCCGGTATTCACCCAGACAGTCCAGTATTTTCAGCTCCTGTCAGGTAAAAAAATTCAGAGAATACCGGACACCTAAAATGTCCAGTATTTTTCTGATTTTTCCCCCGGCCAGGAGGCAAAAATGCTGGGCACCTGGCAACCCTACAAACACTCAGCGCCTGGCCTCCCAAACACCCAGCCCCCATGCTTACCTGGTTCCCCAAGGCTGCAATGCTTCCCCTAGGTCTTAAGTGTTCAACCTTTCCCTTGTTCCTATCCCTGCATGTAAAGAGGACATGCTGTTTTATTTAAAAAAAAATTTTTTTTTTGCTTAATAAGTTCTTGGAGTCCTTTTTTTTCTTTTTTTTTTTTTTCCTGCTCAACAACTTTGGTCTCCCTCCCTTTTTTCCTCTTCAATAGAATTTTTTCCCGGTGTTTTTTTGGGGGGAGGAGGGATGTTTGGTATTTTTGTTTCAACCATCTGGCAACTCTAAGTATGTCCCACCTCCCCTTGTCCCATCCTCCTCCCACAGGCCCTCTCCTGCCTTCTTCCATTTCCCTTCCCACCTTTCTGTGGCTGAGATGCTGGGGATAGCACGCACAAGGCCTAGGGTTGGGGCCACTCCAGGCCTGGAGGTGCTCCAGCCACACCATCCACCTTGCAGGCTGGGGGCACACGGGAGGGGGTTGTGTGCAAGGAGTGTGAGTGCTCTGAACTCAGGCAGGGGAGCAGGGCCAAAGGCTAGCCTCCCACATCAGCATGTTCATCTGCTACTAATGGCTGTGTCTATATTGTAGCTCAGTTCATGCTAAAGATACTGAAAAGGCCCAATTGTGGGCAGGCTCTGTAAGTATGCTACACTTAACCTAAAAGTGCTACTCTCCCTCCCCCCCCTTTGCACTAGGGAAAAGGTTTAGCTTAGGTCAAGCTACAAAGAGCTGGATGAGATACGCGGGGGGAGAGGGGGGAAGATACCTATTTCAGGACCTCAGAGGCCATCCCACAGTGGATCAAGCCAGGAGGAGGAAATCGTGTACAAGGGCGCCGAGGAATCCAGATGATGACTCGGCGTCCACAGATGCATGCAGTCAGGAGTGCTTTTCTGCCCCAGAGAAGGCAAGCCAATCGCAGCAGTTGAAGGTTGGGGAAGCACAAACAGCAGAAGATACACTGGTAAGTGAGTTTGACTTCTGGAAGCGCTCAAGAGAGCTGCCTGGAGCAGGAGGGCTGCAGAAAGCAGGCTTGGATTTGTGTGGTGCCAGGACTAGTCAGATGCAGAACAGAGTATTGATGTACTCTCACTTCACAGTAATTAGCCTCACAGATCTCATCAAAAGTATCATGCAGCTGCTAGGCAGTCTGCCTCGGCAGGCCTCTTTGGTAGGGCTGCTATATTCACTGTCCCTTTAAGGATAACGTGCCACATTGTTGTAAGCAGGGAAGGGGAATATCCTTGCACAAAAGCAAACTGCATACAGGCCCAGATGGAGCCTACAGTTGATTTAAGGACACTCTCTTGCTTCCCCATTCACTTTAAGCAATGAAACATCTTCCAGGGTGAACATAGCCTGTGGAAAACGAGCGGTCATATCTAACACTAGGGCCCCTCTGTAGTACTCTCGAAGACACATGACCAGAGTACAGCACACCAAAGAACTCTCCTGCCCCGGTGGTTTACTCACCACTTTTAGGAACTTGTGTGTTGTGTGCCCTCAACCTGGGCAGCCAATCAGTGATTGGTATGCAAACAGTGCTCACTGTAGTAAGCCTGAAATGAAAGCCCATGTAGCACAGGCCTGAGGCCTAGCTAACAATGGACAACACTTGGCTAATATAAAGCAAAACTAAGCTATGAGCAAGAGGCAGGTCCCTACTCACAGAACTTGGTACAAACAGGACTAAAAGAGTGTAAAACACTAATTTGTAACAGGCCCAGGTGCAGAACAGTAATTGGTACTAGTCATAGGTTGAAAGCACATTCCAAAAGGATGGTAACACCAGCTCATTAAAAAGACCTTGGTATCCACACTCCCTACAGATACCGACCCAGGTTCAGGAAAGGGTCTAAAATGACAGCAGGATGGATAGAGATGGCCTAACTGAACCACAAAGTGAAGGGTGGTATCTAAGTAGCCTCAGAAGGTGGCAACCTAACATGTCAAGAGTGACGTGTAACTTGTTTGTACCTGTTACTTGTGGAGGACAGTCTTTGTCCAGCCAGGAATCAGTCGGGTGTATCACTGATTGAGCTGAGTCCATTGTCACGGAGAACATATGAATAGTAGAGTTTACTGACAACTATTACTATACATTTCTTAACAATAAACCTGGCTGGACACTGTCGATCCTTATCCGACTTGTGATCTTTGGGGGCTCTCTTGGGGTCTGCTGTGTCGACTAATTGTGCAGGTCAACATGGCACACATCATTGAGCACACGCACGCAGCCTTCTGATTATCATCATCGATAGAGCCTGCCAGGACACCGCAACAGTAAATCCTAACTTACTACGTTGGTGAACCTAGTACACTTGTGTTTAAAATGGGTCATAGGAGAGGTCTGGCTAGTGTTAACAATGTCCTCTGTAACATGCTGCAGTTTGTCATCACAGATTCAAACCTTGGGATGCCAGCCTACCTTGCTGAAAGGCTGCGCAGGGCAAGGAAGTGGTCTCATAAAAGATAACTTTTTATGTGACATCATGAATCAGGCTGCTACTGAAAAGAATTGAAGGAGTAGAGGGCTAGTGAGTGCAAGGCACAGAAGGAGAACATGGAGCACCAAGCAGATACACTTCAGGAGTTGCTAGCACTTCAGACGAACTAGCTGTGCAACTGCCCCTGCCGCAGTACCCCACCGTTTTCCATGCACACCCCAGTCATCACCGACACAATTTGGCCACCACCCTGTCACTGGCCTGCACCCACTGTGCTCCACACATGCTGGCTCACTGTCCATGTCCACATTTTCACAGACACCCAATGTATTCCATCCCCATCCACGTGCAGTTTAGCTTCCACTGTACAGCACAAGAAATAACAGGGCTGTGTGTGAAACCTGAACATATACAAATCTCTAAACATCTTGGGGCCTCAGCTCCTCCCCTTTCCACTAGGGATGTAAAATCCTGTTTTAGTAAGTGTTTAAATGTAACTAGTTAACCAATTAAAAGAGGGACCAACAGGCAGGAAGCTGCTGAAGCTCCCACCAAGCTAACCATTCACATCCCTACTCCCAACCAAATGCAACTGTATCATGCTGCATGTGTTTTTTAATAAATACAATTATTGTGTTTTAAAGCAATCTTCATTCTATTTCATGAAAGCAAGCAAACATAGCCCAACAAAGCAGAGTGCATCATACAGACCAATCATAGTAACCTCCCAGCAATTCTGCCACTGTAGTCCCATTAAGAATTCATAGAGCTTTTTTATTAAAATTAAAACTTAAAGTGAGCACCATCCTCAATGATATACAATATGAATGACCAGTTTATACAACAAAACTAAGAGGCTCCACTTTCATTCAGGCAGTATTCCATTTTAAAAGGAGGAGCTCCCAAAACATTAAGCCTTTAATATATGTGCTGCAGTGAATTGCGTGCAAAGATGTCATGTTTAAGGAACACATCTACCCAGAGTATTAGGGCATAACAAGCTGAGGGGTAAATCTACTGCACTGTAGTGGGCTTTGCTCTCATTGGCTGTGTGGACTCTAGTACTGCACAGAGTAACTTCAAAAGTATGCTTTGACCTACTGGTAGGTTAAAGCGCAATAATGGAGTATGGAACTTATAGTGTGCAATACTATGCCAGACCTGAAGAAATGATATTTGAAATCTTGTCTCTCTCACCAACAGAAGATAAAAGATGTTACCTCACCCACCTGGTTTCTTCACTGCAATTGCAGTTAGTCTCATTCCTCTGTTTTCTTTCTATAATGGGCCCAGTTTCACTTGGAGAAAGAAAACACTAATTACCAGGCCCAGCTGAAGTTCAGCACTACTATATTCCTGTCCTCACAAACTTTGTCAGATGCATACTGTAACAATGCAATATTACCTAAAATTAAACTGTCTAACAATAAGTCTTTTGTAGACAAACTAAAACAATGTCACCTTTTCCTACAGTAAATAAAGCCAAATCTTATATTGCCTTATGGATCAGAGTTTTATATTTATACAATCTGCAGGTTTATATATATGTGATGAGGAAAGGTGCATCCTTTGGGAGCAACATGGAAAATTAAACAATATCACTGCATACACTATTAGGAAGAATGCTCTAATCAAATGGCTCTCACATCAATAGCTGCATATGGTATCTTACAGAAAGTGGAAAGCAGTTTTATTTTAAGAATGAGTAGTTGGCCCTGTATTTAGTTGGTGCTTTTCCATTAAATTTTCAGTTGGTGCTTTTCCATTAAATTTTCAGTAAGTTTTAACATTAATAATAACCCAACCAGCAAAAACAACCTAAAAGCAAACAAGCACAAGTAAAGACAGAATGTTAACCAAAAAAGAGAAGAGGCAAAAACTCTTCGCAAAACTTTTATTATCAAAATTATAAAATAAAATTTTGTACAGAAACAATTCATAGATCAGACTATCTAGTTACAGCATTTATTCATATAACATCCTCAAGATGAGCATTAAAGTCTTGACTTAATACAAACCTAAAAACTTAGCAACCCAAGGACAGGTATGTCAATTAGAAGGTTACCTGAATTATCACTGCACATATATTTCTAAAGTTCCCATTCATGAAATGAAAAAGATCAGTCTACGATTTTTGACCAAAAAGGAAATATTCACTCTAGGATGAATGCTATCCAAACCTTTGATTATACATTGGTTCAAGGTTTCACATAATTAAAAGAAAATGGGTGAAGGGGAATTTTCAGACACAAAATGAGAGTCATGAAAGGCAGTGGGAGTTGTTGGATGCCTAAATGCCTTTAAAAGTTTCACTCTAGCAGTATGAGGTGCTGAATTGTGGTAAGAAGTAAATATCACTATAGAAAAAAGCTGATGCATAAAATAGCCTTCTACCAAAAAGATTCAATTAGTTCTAGTTCAACAAAGCCAAGGTGATTCTAGTTAGGATTGATCTCATTTATAATATTACTTTCTAAGTCTTCATTAACTGTACAATAATTTTCATTGTTAGATTGATTCATACAACGTACTACTTTCCATTGCTTTAATTACACAGTAGTCCAAACTAGAGCTTTTCAACTTTAAGTCCTTGCTTTTAGCTGGACTTAAAGTTCATTAACCATGTCATGCAAAATAACTTTCTACAGCGATACTGTGCTCAGGATTAGGCCACAGCATGTGTGAATGCTACCAAAATATATTCAACCATTACATCTGCACTCCCAGACTATTACTTTTTAGCCTTTAGAGGAAAGGATTGCAAATCCCATTAATACCCTATTAGCCAGGATATGTGATTTCTTTTAAAAAGAATCTGAATCTGAGCTGTACTACATAGCTAGAAGGGTTTCATATAAGTTCCAACCTAACCATGGGTTTTGAAAACCACTGGGGCCTTAAAAAAAAAAAAAAAAAAAAAAAAAAGAAGAAAATTCAGGCTCCAGTTCCAAAAGGCTAGAGACCATTTGATCATAAAGTTCTGAAAGCAGTAAATATGATGATTTATTACATTTGATCAATTTATTCCATTTGCAATCTAATTTGTGATTGATTAAATAAGCTTCTCAAACTGACCGTATGCCTGTATCTCAAGTAGAAATTGTGTACTTACACTGTAGTACTTTCTCACTGTTGACCTTGCACTGATGCAGCATTACTTGGCAGCAATAGTGGAAACACTAATATAAACAGGATGCAGTCATTTTCCATCACCATTGTCAGCCCACATTAGGATTGCTACCATTGCTATTGTCAGTGGAGCTGCACTAGTACTAGTTCAGTGAGGAAAAATGTGGCTGCCCTAGAAGTTTGCAGCAATGTTCTATACTCACAAGGGAAAAGGAAGCTATGAACAGAGACCATCAAACTTTTGGCCCTCAAAAGTTCTCTCAGCTGTGCATTTTCCCATTTTGTCACACACTAGAAACCTTAAACTTTTATATTAATTCCTTATTCAAGCAGAGGGGGCAAAAATGCTGCTTTTTTACACTTCTGAGCACTGTATAAAACCAAACGATGAAAACGTGCCCACCATAAAGAAGTTTTAAAACAATCTCAATAAATTTTTAATTCTTTGAAGGACTAGTGATAATTTTGTAGTTGCTAATTTTATAACCGATCTATCATGACGCTTAACAGATTTCAGCTTCAATTGGCTACTGTTACTCTTCCTGAATTTTTAGAGACAGAAATTAACTAATTTCACCAGGCCAAGGTTTAACATCTATATTTCCACATAGGTCCATGTGAAACACCACAATTAATATTTTAAATGCATTTAATGTTTTCAATACTGTTAACTGTAAATAAAAACTGCAACGAAGACAACTGTCTGAACAAGACACTATCAGTTTAAAGCTGCATCAAGCTTCACCCTCTTGTTTCAGAGAGAAAGGCCAAAGTGGATGCTAGCCAGACTGCATAACAACAGGAAGGGGAAGAAAGCGCTTATCCAACAGTATTTAAAAGAGCATCACTGCCTGCAGCCCAGGACTCAACATGATCTGTGGAAGAACTACTGATTATCTTGGAAAACGTTGTCCCTTTTTACTTGGAAAAGAAAGAAAAGAAAATGCTGATTATCCTGGGATTAAAATCCAAAAGTGTTTGAACAATCAATTGCACACGAAGTGGGACATGGAAGAAAAAGCACACAACTGCAGGAAGGTGCCATTGACAACCCATCACAAGCTTAATCTTCCATTTCAAGTTCACGTTTCAGACTGCAAAATACAAACAGGAACCAGTTTTAGTTCAAGAAAAGCAGGTTGATCTATTATAGCATTTGATTTCTATTCAGTTTAGATACAGTTTGGAAGCTGTGGGAATAAGTATTAACTGAACTTTAATGCCAGCAGAATAAGTATTTAGCATTTACACTGTATACCACTTTACATACAAGTAAGTAGTCACAATTCCCATGAGATCATCTCAATTTCACAGATGACAAGTCAGAGGCCAAGTGGTTTACCTAAGACTTCCAAACAATTCAGAGGAGGAGCCAAGATTTCTCCATTCCTGGCTTTCAGACCTTTGCCTAAGCAACAACAACTGGGCTATGAAAAAAAAATAGCAATTACCTGTTTAAGTAAGCATGAACATTGTCGTAGCCATGATACTTGGCCAAATAAACCAGCACGCCAGTAGCACACCGGCCATCCCGCTGTCTGCAGAAGCTACAATTGCAGATTCCACGACAAGGTGGGCAGCGCCAGTTCTACAGAAAAATAAGACATCTTTTAAAGAAACTGAAATCTCAAGAG